CACAAAGATGATGGAGGGAGGGGAGCATCTCCCTTATGAGGAGCGGCTGAGGGAGAAGAGGAGACTGAGGGGTATAAATTTATAAATTATATTGTTTATAAATTTGTAAAGGGCGAGTGTCAGGAGGAAGGAGCCAGGCTCTGCTCTGTGACAGCCAATGACAGGACAAGGGGCAATGCTCCAAGCTGGAGCATAAGAGGTTCAACCTGAATATGAAGAAAAACTTTTACTGTGAGGGTGCCAGAGCATGGCCCAGGCTGCCCAGAGAGGTTGTGGAGTCTCCTTCTCTGCAGACATTCAAAACCCACCTGGACATGTTCCTGTGTGACCTGGTCTGGTGATCCTGCTCTGGCAGGGGTTGGACTGGATGAGCTTTCGAGGTCCCTATTCTGTGATTCTGTGTAATGCTCCTGTTTGCAGACCAAGTCTGTGTGCAGCCCCTCTCAGTACTGGGAGATGAGAAGCCAGCAGCGTGACCGGGCAGAGGGGATCTGCAACTGCCCTCCATCCAGCACCACGCTCCAGTTTCTCCCATTTCTAGTTCCAGGCAGGGTCTCCAGAGATTTCTTTTTTCCAGCTGGGCCATGCTGACGCAAAAGCTCCCCGCCACATGGGAGAGGTATAAAATGAAGTCTGCAGAGTTGGATAAGCAGCTCGAGCACCTCGCAGAGTGACACATGAGAATCAATGCTGTCGCCAGCTGAGGGACACTTCACTGCAGCCTTTGGACCACAGCACTGATAGATAAGAAAGGGCTTTCAGTGCTTTCCTCAACACCTACAAGTGGACTCCACAGAGCACCAGTTTGACTGCATGGCAAGCTGAGCACCATCTCACCACTAGCTGTGGCAAACACAACCATTAAGCAGTCTGTTATGGCTTGCTGTTGCAGGGAGCCATGTGCATGGGGAACGGGATCTTGAAAAGCGAACGCCTGCTCCCATCCTGCCCGAGATGCAGTGAAACAACCAGTGCACAGTGCCTGGCTGCTATTAAAGGAGTCAGCCTGGCTGTGTCGTTAACTGACCACACAGGACCTGCCCCCCCCCACCACTTTGATCCTCGCTGCGGGGGGTGGCAGTGGCTCCTCTGCAGAGCCCAGCGCGGTCTGAGCCCGTCAGGTTTTGTTTTGTGGCTCCTGCAGACGCCTCCCATGCCATAACATCCACCAGGGATCATCATCTGACAGCACATGGCTACCACGGCTGGGTTTTTTCCGGAGACAAACCAAGAAAGCAACCCTCTTCCTGCCTGCAGGCAGCACAAAGCAGCCCATCACCTTCCAGAATCAGAGCCATATTTTTACAAGGTTCCCAAAAGCTTTGGGGCAGCCCTGGAGGCAGGAGCTGTGCAGCAGCTGCGGTCCAGCAGGCAGCTCTGCGTGTCCTCAGAAGCACTTCCTATGCAAACAGCAGATAAGCTAATGCAGCCTCCGCGATGAAGCATGCTTATGATGCTTTTTGTTCTTGTACTTTTATCCGCCCAGGAAATCTCTGCTCAGAGGCAGCGTGTCAAACAGAGCCTTAAAAAAATTTAAAAAGGACCCTTGGAGATAACGGGGCCTCTCCCCCCATAGCCAATGGCAAGGATAAAGGGGGAGGATATGGAGAGGGAGGAGTATGACATTAAAGAGAGAAAAAAACCCATTTCCTATTGTCCTGGACCCTTCTGCACATACTGATTCCATATGGAGCAAATGCCAAGGGGTATTTCTGTCACCAGAACACACACACATTGCTGAACAGGCCTAGAGCAATAACCCAGCTTTAAGGAACCCCTGCTCTTCTGCTTCATTAGTTCTAGCCCATCTCTGAAAAAATTACCCAGAACCCTTAATTACCAAGAACCAGTCATGCTAGAAACGTATTTTCAACACTTCCATTATTTACCGGTTAGCAATTCAAATGCTTTAACCGGCTGCTCAAACAGGAGGAAAAAAGCCAAGGAGAGGTTGCCAGAGCTCCAGCAGAGCTGCGGGAAGGAGAGCTCCTGACTTCCATGTGTCTGCTGTCAAAAGGAAAAAGGAGTTGAGAGCAACAACGCAGGTACATTAGCATAGGAAGCAGGAAGAGAATGACTAATAGGAAGAAGCTGAACACTCACTTGTGCTGCCTTATCTGTTGTATTGAAAATCTCTTGGCTGGGTCATATTCAAGCATCCCTGAAAAGAAGGAAAAAAGGCCAGGTGTGATCACAGATGCCCTCAGCTGAGCTGAGGACAGGAAGCACAAAAAGCTCTTCCCTTCCCTCCCGCCTCCCCCCACATCACATCCAGTGCTCCTGCAGCGCAGGGAGCGGCAACCCCCAGGAGCAATCTGCTGCACCAGGCCTGGGAGGCTCAGCACAGATCCCCTCTGCCAGCCTCCTCATCAGGTCTGTGCCTCAGTTTCCCCACCTGCAAAGTGGATATGAGCCTTCCTTCCTCCACACTGCAGGACAGGGGCTCGTGCAGCCCTGGATCGTGTGTCTAAGCCTGTCTCCAGGCAAAGAGCATTGAGACTTGGCATTTCACAGATAATGCATTGGACTGGCTCCATGGAAGAGCCAAAGCCTTAGGCACAGCACAAACGCAGTTGCTCAGCATCCCAGGAACTCCAGTTCAGTGAAATCTACTCTGGAAGTACAGCTGGGAGAACTGGAAACATGATCCTACTGTCCAGCCTTCTGCCCTAGCCTGGAGTTTGATCTCTGGCATTGCCTGCTGAGATCCCTGGGGCTGGGGTAAGAAGAGGGGGCAGCAACAGCAGCTGATGTGTGTTCTGTCTAGGAGAGGGAAGAAGATTCCTCAAACAGACTTGCCAGATGTCCACTCCGCTCCACTGCCTTCAAAAAGCTTCACAACTCACCAGAAGGGAAGGGGCAGATTTCGTGATGTTCTTCAGAAACTACCCAATGGGACCTAACACATCTCACTGAGCAGCATCCAAGATACTCCCCAATGAAGGTTCCAAGAATGTATCCATTTATCTAATGAACGTTAACAAAGTCTCACTGTCACGACAGGTATCTTATCCCCTGAAGAAGTTCAAGCCTTACAAACAGGGAGCTGAGGAGCACCACTGCACACGTATTTCCAGATGCTCTCGGGGTAGGGGTGAGAGAATGGGAGATATGGCTGAACCACTCAGCAGAGAAGGAATTTGATCCTGCTGTTCTGCAGAAAGTGCTGCAACGCTTGTAAGACAACATTTAGGTGCTTTTGCAGGGCTGATCCCAAGTAGTTTTCTCACCTTAGCCACAGTTCATGCACTGATGCTGGAGAAAGCCTCATTTTTTCAGTGAGTGCTATGGAACAACTGCCTTACAGTTGAAATAAATATCAGTTTAACACTGAACAGAGCCGATATCAGGGACCCTCTCCCCAAGAAGGGTCATTGCAGTGTGTGCTCCTCCTTTCCCCCGTACCCCAGCATTGTGTCCGTAGCAGCCCCTGCAGCTGGAACGCCACCACAGCTGGGGTGGGGAGGGACCCCCAGGGGTCTCCCCTGGCGGTCACTCTGGGCTGGCTCAAAGCAGGGTCACCTGGCCCAGGGCTGTGTTGGGTTTCGATCGTCCCTGGAGATGGAAACTCTGCAGCCCCCAGGCAGTGCCCCCTGCTCACAGCCCTGCAGCACAGGAGGTCTCCCATTCAGGTGGAATCACTCCTCACCTCACAAGAAATTATAATTGGAAAAGGAGATGGGAAGGGGGTTCAGAGAAAAAAAAAAAGAAATCCCACACCTAATTAAATGACCTATTAAGAAGATTGTTAGACAGCAGCTTCACAGCTGAGCGGCCTAAACATGCTGGCTTTATTGTTTTGTAAAGAAACAGGACTGCAATGAACACGAAGTCCAGGGGACACCAAGGCAAGCACTGGCTGGGTTCTCTTATTAATGTAACCTGAAACAGTTAAGTCGGGACGCCCCGCTAGTTTGCTCCTTCAAAGACCACCTTGCAAGGTGTTTTGGAATCCAGCTTCTTATCATGAGCTCAGGATAGACTTCTGCACATCCAGGCAGAAACAACGGGAAACTCTTCACAGAGATCTGAAGCACAGTGGGGTTCTCTCAGGCCTCCTGCACTTCAATTTTGGGATTAATTTCACTTCGGTGCTTGTAGGAGTTGGGGCATCCTCACAGACAGCTTGCTTTAACCAAAAGGGAAAACCCAACATGCATTCAAATACTTTTTACAGAATGGCAGGGCTAACAAAGAAGTTTAAGGCATTTACCAGATGAAACTGGTACGGACAGACGAAGCTCTGAGGTAAATTATTGAAAAGGGGCCCAGCAGCAGCGGTTACAAAAAGCCATGGTGCAGGGAGCTGCATTGTTCTCAAGCATAAAGATAATTGAGCAAGAAGAATATTTACTTTAATGAAAAAGGACTGTATTTGGGGCAACGTTTGAAAGGAAATGGGAAGTCCAACCACAGAAGACGCGGGTTCACGCGCTCAGCTCCGAGTCACCGATGGCAGCTGTGCGGCTGGAGTCCTGCGCTGAAGGGACTCCACCAAGGCAAAGCACGGCGTGCGTGATGCGCTGCTCCGCCAAGGCAGCCAGGAGAGGCTGCCCACAGCAGCCATGCTCTGCCATTTAGGTCAAGACTGCCGTGCAGCTCATCCATGAGCGGGATGAGCCACGCTGTACCAGGGCGATCCTTCAGGACGCCCAGCTCACAAACCCCCGCTCTGCAGCATTTTGGGAGGACACGGTGCAGTCACAGCACGTCGACAGCCTCCAGGCCCTCTCGAATGACGCGAGTGGCAATCCGGAAACTGGAGACCACGAGCCTGCCCTGAGCTCCTGAAGGCTCAGCCCACACACTCAGTAATCCTGAACTAGCACTGCACTATAGCGTGTGGTGGAGCACCTCGTTTCTAGCACACAGCACGATCTAAGCTACGTCATTTGAGAAGCTGAAGAAATGTAACAAGCTGAAGAAATCTAATCAAGTTAACGAGCTCAACCTGAATTTCACTTCAGTCTCCAGCTCAGATCAACACAAAAAACCACCAAATAAAAGCAGTGTAAGTCCACTATGTAAAATGAGACAGGGCTGTTTCCCCTCCTTCACCCTCCCCAGGCACAGCCAGGCATTTGAACCAGAAACTCCCTCTGCAGGCAAACCTCCAGCCTTCCATCACACACAGAAGTCTCGCCACTGGCTGGGTCACAGACCCAGGACTCCCTGCTGAAGCACCCTGCAGTCCCGGGGACGCATCCTCTCGCCATCGCTGTAACGAGAGGTCACAGCAGTCACACAAGTGAGAAAAACTGCTGAGATGTGAACCAACTCGTCCAGTTCACGAAGTCTGCAGTAGAGCCTGGAAACCAATCCAGATGCTTCATGCAGAGACTGCAGCCTCAGAGCTTTCTTTCAGGAAAAGTGTATTAGGAGAGGAGGAGGAAAAGCTGACCTCGTGCATTTTCTTGTCCAGCAGCAAACTGCCATGAGTTGGTAAGTCATGTGCAGATGGTGACAGAGGAACCTTAGGGCTATTTATAAATGTTTCCACTCGGACACATCTTTACCGACTGCACCCAGAACACTCCTAGCCCTTCTCTTTTCCATCAAGGGAGATTATAAATAAAGCTTCATCCCTGATTAGGGAGACAGAAAGAGGAGCAGCATCCCAACTAATCTGTTGAAATACACTGTCATGCAAGACTCTTCACAAGTCAAATACCACAGGAGCTTTAAGTCCTCTAAATTCTGCTTCGTCTGGAAAGAGGAACAAAGAAATAAAAACAAGCTGAGGAGGAAGGAGGGGTAAAAAACCCACAGTGCTATGGTCAACACAGCACTTATAGCCAGAGAGGAAACGAGCACTTTGCAGCACACCTCCTTCCTTACAACAAAACCAGCAGAAATGCTCGCAGCACTGCAAAGTGCTTTAGTAGTCTTTTAAAAGCAGCCCAATGGCTAAATAAAGTCTCTGGTGAGATGGTGCTGAGCTGTGGGTGTGTCTGCTGCTCACATGAAAGCCTCAGCCATTGACAATCTCTGATCTCCTGGCTTCTGATTCACTTTCGCCCTGCTGCAGGAGCAGGCTCCTACCAGGAAATGCAGATGCTCTGGAGGAAAAGCATGAGCTAAATAAAGCATTTGGGTTGTGTCACCATAGCTACATAGCATCAGCGCTGCAAGGCTTGCCCCTCAGCTTCAGCAGATGCCTCAATACCTGCTGGGTTGTGGACATGCTCAGGCCTTCGAGGTAGAGGGAGCCAGGGCAACCTCGCTCCATAATTCAGGCACCTCAGGCCTGCCGGGTGCTCTAACCGCTAGAAAAAGTGAAGCGTGTCAGACCAGACAAGGAGAATATCAGGAGGTTTTGGCAGCGAGGATGGAGGAGGCAGCTCAGGCAGGAGGAGATGGACAAAAGGCAGCAGGCATGAGGCTCCTGTTTGCAACGAGGCAGATGGAGAAGCAGGAAACTCTGACTCCATGTCTCACACAAGGGATGGAAAGAGAACTAAAGAGGGAGGTATTCTGCTAAGGAAGCACAAGATTTGAAGCTATCAATATCCTCAGGACAAGACAAGAGGAACTGCCACGCTCGCTCTCCCTGGTGGACAGCGCTAAGTGCAGCTGAGAGGCTCATCACAAACCTCAAATGATTTCTGCTGGATGCTTTAGCAGACCAGCCACCACTGGATTTACTCCATTTGGGCAGCTCCCAGGCTCATAAACAGGCCCTGTTTTGAGTCAGCACTCACAAATCAACCACCACACGCAGCTCAGGACACAGCTACCTGGGGCAGGTCATGAAGCACACATCAGTAGGAGGTGCTGGGCCGGCAGCAGTGGTGGCCACGCTGGTCTCGGCCGAGCAGCCAAGGCCTGAGCACCACACCGGGCAGACGTGACCCTATGGGGCAAGGGAGTGAGCCCAGGCTGGAGCTGCAGCTCCTCGCAGCCGCCCACGCAGGAGCCGGGAGCTCACGGTCAGCGCAGCCTTCCCTGCAGAGACAACCACTGCCGTCTCCAGCACAAAGTGCAGACGTACAGCGCTTTGAAATCGCTGACTTTCTGGCTAGCCACAAACTGCAACAGCACCGTGACCACGCAGAGGACACAGCGCAGCACAAACCCTCTGGGTTTAGTGACAGCACCCGTATTACGAGCAGACCTGAGGACACGGGGACGGGAAGCTGACTCAGACTCAGTGCTCTGCAGCCCTCCACCCACACTGAGCTCCCAACCCACGCAGCACAAGAACCAGAAAAATAAACCCAAAACAAGACTGGGTCAGTTCATATTTGGGGTCTGATCTTTCCCAAACAGCTGAAGACAAAGAAGGAGGAGGAAGCCCGTGCCGCGGGCTGGGCAGTGCTATCACATTGGGCTGTTTCACTGCTGCTGAGGCAGCAGGGACTCTGGTCGGGATCTTCCGTGTGCTGGAATCGCACCCTATTGCTGCCAAACAGCCCTCAAGTTGGCTACTGCACACAGCACAACTGCTGCCCTGACCGTGCAGCTTTCTGAAGAAATGGAGACTGCTCAACACCAAACCTCAAACTACTGCAGTGTGTGACAGGAACAAAAAACCCAACCAGAACTCTCAATTCCCTCCTCCTACCCAGAAAGTGCTGCTACTGCTTCTACACAGCCCTGTTGTGGAAGTGGGCACCACTTGCTTTGCACCAGCATCCTCACAAGTATAAACCTGGGGGGGTGGAGAAGGCAACTGGGACTGAAGCACATAAATGCAGGGCAGAGGCTGGTGAGGAAGGACAGCAGAACTCCAGTACTCAGTACTTCACATCGTAGAAAGCCTGGACAAGGAACTTAATTGAGTGTTCTCACTTGCAAAACCTCCATCAATGCTATGATGCCATTTTAAATTTAGCCTCCTGTGGGCTTTGTCTTAATGTTTAAAAGCTTATCAGAGCACAAGAAACATAATACAAGCTCCATAAAGAGCAGCGATTGCAACCCATGCAGGGCTTAATGTATCTTGGGAAAATACCAGTGTTAAAGATCCTTCAAAGTCTTGTTAGAAGGTTCATAAGCATAACCTCCCTTCCTAACAGGATCCTGCATCTTCACAGGATACTTGGAATGAACGCTCCATGTAAGCTAAGCGTTTCTTGCACCTATAGACTCTGTCCACTCGTTTTATCAGACTCACCTCTCAACAAGTCTGAGAGTGGAGGACCACAATCCTCTGGAATCACGTAGTCACCTTTCCCGATGTTTTCAAATAACTTATAGATATTATCCCCTTCAAAAGGATACAGACCCGTTGTAATGTTGTATCTGTAAAGGCAGAAGGAGAAGCTGCGTGAGAAAAAGCACACAGAACGGGAGTTCAGCTCTTGCGTGACTGTGGAAACCACAAGAAGCCAAGAGGAAGCTAAAAGATGAATATTTGACAGTATTTGGAATGCCTCTTTAAACTGAGCCTTCCTTTATCACAGCCTCTTCATTCACATGAGTCAAAACCACCAAGACATCTCCCTGACAGGCTGGGATGGAAGAAACTTAAAAAAATAAATACTAGAGAGATTTGTGGTTTCCATTATTACAGCAGCTGTGTATCTCGGGTGCTGAGAAATGGCTGGCAGAGTTACACACAGAGTAAAGGGTACTTTCTTCAGGATTACAAGCACTCCAGGGAACATACACCCGTCCAAACAGGGGACCAACACCCTTACACCCTCCCTGCTCCCCTCAATAACACAGCACAGACCAGTGTCAACGGCAGACACCACAAGACTGAGCTATCCAGGGGCTGGTAATGTTGTATTGCGATTCCCAGATGTTGCACGGGCACTTACAGCGTGACCCCTGCGGACCAGATGTCTACTTTAAAGCCAGAAAAGGTGTCAAGGCCATTGGCGATTTCTGGTGGCTGGAATGCTGGCGACCCTTGGCTTGTCCTGCACGTGTCGTCCTCTGCAAACGGATGCAGCGCCTGCGGCAGAAGAGAGCGGTGAGGTGAGCTGCAAACGTTACAGGCAAACTGCAACTGTAGAGCAGCTTCACCTGGGAAAAAGAGGGAGACTCTGCTACTGAACACCTACTTACACATAACGAGAACACGCTGTCACAGCAGCTGCTGCCAACAGTGACAGCTCTCGCACCTCTCCTACCTAAGGCAGGCTTCATACACTAAGGATAAGGTTATGTAGCTTATTGCCATTGCACCGCACCGTGGGGCTTGTCTCAGACACAGATATGCTTCCTGGATGGAAGTTTTGTGCTGTTATCAACAAAAGTGTTTTGCCAATTACAAGAAATACTCAGAATCACTCTGAAGCACTCTGCAAGCTTAACGGAACAAGAGCCTAAACGCACACTAAATCAGTCGACACCGCAAAGGTGACCTAAATCGAGCGTCACGCTTCCCACACTCCTCCCTGCCGCAGCTCTCACATACCTCTGCTACGCCCAAGTCGGATATTTTTAGTGTCCCGTTGGTTGTTAGCAGGAGGTTCCCCGGTTTTATATCCTTGTGGACAATCCCTTGGCTGTGCAAGTATTCTAAGCCGTCGATAAGCTGACAAAAGTACCTGCAGGAAGAGTCAGAGGAAAAGAGTCAAGCATGTCCATAGTCTTAACACTGTGTGAACTTGCTCCAACAGGGCATGGGAGAAAAGGCCTATCCAGCCAGCAGAAAGGAGAGTTTTGCTGCACACGTGGTCAGAGACCATGGACAGGCCATTACTACAAGGTAGCAAGCACTGCACATTGACAGCTTGGCAACAACTCCGCATGCACGGATTTTATCTCATAATATCCAGAAAAATACCTGACGACGTGCCTGTATTTCACCTAGGCTGTCTGTAATCTCAGGCACCTTTTTTAAGGAAAATTAAAATATAGATATTAAAATACGTAGTTATCACAGATTTGCTGGTCTGCACTGATTTCAGGTACGTGACAACCTTTTTGCATCTATTTCCAGAATTCTGAGGTTCCTTTACTTGCAGAGTGAAAGGGACTCCAGATTATCCCATCTGCTAACTAAACAAGCTAACAGATCATGCTGGATATTGCCAATCCTTAATCCAGCCAGAGACCTTTAATCTCTTTTCTGACACTGAACTGCATGGCTTGTCTCCATTTAGACAGGGCGAGCCCTCCCGGATCCTTCACTGGATGCCAGAGCTGCAGGAAAGGGGCCAGGAAGGGTTGTTGTGTATCTTGTGAAGCAAAACGAGAGATAAAATTCAATAGAAAGATGTCTTTTCTTTCCAGAATCCGAGGGCTGTGCCTGCCACCACTTCATTTGTTTTTCATTTTTTCAATGGATGTAGAAGATGCAGTTCTTACACTAAACCAGCTTTGCTTTCAAGCGCAGCCAGCAGTCTAAGCAGCAGAGTAGAACGTGCTCTTGGACTGATGAAAGCCAACGCAGGCCAAGGAACAAAACCGTACTTACCCATGAGCCTGAAAAACTGGAAATCTCTTTTCTGGGACACTGTCCAGCATCTCCTGCATCCCACACACACAGTACTCCATCACCATATACGTGAAGGCAGAGTTAAGGAAGCCTCAAGGTTAAACACTTCAGGCAGTTGCTGTGTGAGGGCTGCAGCCCCGTTCCAGCGCAACGGCCGAGCTGCTGCACGGGCAGCCCTGCTACCCAGGACACACCTGAGAGCAGAGCTGCGCTGCACCTTCTTGCGGCAGGCACCCTACCTTCCTCCCACCAATGGGAGCATGCAAAGAACCAGAAGAAAGTTGTTCTGCTTAACAGCTGCAACTTCATGATCAGACCTGAAATGGGATGCAAATGTCACAGACATTAAGCTGGAGATCTCACGAGTGTGACAGAAATAGGGTAATACGCTGGAGTGGCAGCAAGAAGTTAGGAAAGCCCTGGCAGTAGAGCTGTGGCACCTTCTCCCAAAACCTCGGCTGATTTGCACTTGCCACAGCAGTGAACTCCCAGCCCCTTCCTCAGGGTTTGTTATTCTTCACTGCCCGTTTCACAGCAGCACGGCTGCGTGCACTGTTCAACAGCTGCTGCCTATCCCATCCCCATGGTGGCGTTTCAGTAGCAGAGAAAGGAGCCCTGGAGAGCTGGGAGCTTTCTTGAGACTGCACGGATAAAAACAGCCACAGCAGAATGCCAGTGGTGGCACTTGTCAGCGTTTGTGCTCCTGCAGCACACTCCAGTTTTCATCTCCTTACGCTTTAACGTTGGCCCAAACAACGGGAACTACACAACTGCCTCCAGCACAACCACCTCTGTTCTCCTCCCCTCCCCGGGCTGTTCAAGGCAGCCTGAGCTGAGCGGCTGCAGAGAATGGGCCCTGAGACATCTGGTGGCTCTGCCAAGGGAGTGCACCTTCGAGATCCGGAGCACAGCAAAGCACAACCGCTCTGCTCTCCCTGACACAAAGCGTCTCCTCATCACTCTAATCACTCCTGGCAGATGCCTTCTTAACCTAAGCCCAAAATAAGTTGCTTATGTCCCAGAATGCCACCTTAACTCTCGAGGCAGGAGAGGCTAAGGAGATGACCTGTGCTTCGTGTGGGATCTGTGCTGAAGATTGTGTTGCCCTTTGCAGCACGTTTGATCGAGAAGCTCAAAGCACTGCCTAAACTCATCGCATCTGTGCCACATTGCCCCCAGGAGCTGCTCTTCAGAGGGACACTGAAGCACTGTAAGATGTGGTGATGGGCACAGTGCCACCCAGTACATCAGTGGAAACGGGAACAGCAGAAAGAGCCCCCAAAATGAATTCCTACTGTTTCTGGCTGGGGAAGAAATCTGTGAGCTACTTATATCACAGTGACAGGGAAGAATCAACGCTCCCACCTTCAAGAGAATATACCAACAGCAGATCACATAGACCAGCTCCTGGCAAGCAAACCCTGTCTCAGCTTCAACCTCAAAGGACAGCCCCATTCTGGTGTCACTGGCTGCCAGTGTTTTTCACTCATCCTTTGTACCCCAGCCAGCCTTGGCTGATCCACGGATCCCAGTGCAGACCTCCAGGCTGGAGCAGACCCGTTACAGGTACTCAATAAGACCCAGGCTCTCAACTCCTCTGATCAATAGGGTCCTGCTCCCTCACACGGCTGCACCACTGGAAACAGGAGCTGTCGGAGGGTGCCTGCTAGGACGCTGCTTATTGAGCTGGGTTTATTTCTGCCTGGATTAGCTCTCCATTCATCAACAGTTCTGCATTCCCAGCCACAGCAGGTCATCAAGGCAGCCCATTAAATACCAAATGCAGTTGATCTTTTTAACCCAGTCAGCAGAGCTTTCCCTTTACCAAAGAAAAATCACCGAAGGCAGGCAGGTTGTTAAAACATCACCTCCCCACTGCAAACACGGCTGGAGCCTGCAGTTCACTTCTAGCAACAGCAGAAAACACAGGTGAGAACAGAGTCCTTCCTTCTTCTACCAGACCCATTTCAAGTGCCACAGTGGTCATTCTGGAAATGGGGACCTTTTCCACTGTTAAGGAGGAAGCTGACATTTCTCCCCCCAGCTCCTGACTCAGGTGGCACCTTGCACAGCTTCCTGCAAGGCCCTTGCATGGGCATGAGACAACCACAGTGCAGAGAGCAAGGAACTGCCCCGCAGAGGAGCGACTCCCTTCTCGGCTGGATCTGTTCCCAAACCTGTTTACCACGAGGCTGCACAAGCATTCACACTGCCACATCCCAGGCACAGGCAGTACCAAGGGGAAGCTGGAAAAGATCAAGCAAGAACACGTCCATGGATGGATTCCCACTCCCAGCCCCAGTGGAAACACTGCATTTCTCCAGTATTGCCACTCTCGTGCACAGAACAAGCAGCTATGGCAACAAACTTCCTAAGAGTGGAGAAGCAGATAAAAAGAGCAAAGTCAACCTGTACTTGCAAGGGGAAATCACTGAAAACCAACTTGTTCTTTTTCAAACACTACTGCTCAGAACGTAAAGCGAGGAACGTCCCTCCCCTCTCTGCTCAGAGAGGTCCCATTTCTCAATGACCATTTTGGGTTGTCATCACCTGCTACCAACACATGAGGTCTCTCTCGGGCTCCTTTTTCCCATGCTTCTCCTTTAGCATCCCAGCTTCTCATTAATTAAACGGTGTCTTTCTATAGACAGTAATTGAATTACGGTTCCTTCGGTCTGTTACGGCTACAAAACACAAGCAAAAGCTGTCAGGCTTTTTTATAGTAATGATTTGGTGGCAGAGTAGTCAATCTAATTAAAGCACAAAATTAAATTACTCATTATATGAAGTACTGTAATTGAAAGGCAGTATTTAGAAAACACTGTCAAAAATAAGAGCAACCATTTATAACACGACTACACCAGAACTGCAAAACATGCTTACAAATGGGTTCAAGCCAAGGTGTGAGGACACATTAGAGACCATCGGGCCCCTCGCTGTTTTTTCATGGCATTTCATGGTACGACACTGTTTGGTGTCTGCACTCGGGGACACCGCGCTGGAGTAACGCGTTACAGCCTGAAGGATGCACCGAGGTTACAAACCACAGCTTGGATCAAGACCTGAGCAGTTCGGTCTCAGCCAGCAGAGCTGCAGATCTCACAGGAGCACAACGCTTTCAGTGTCTCACGACTGCTGTGAGATTTAGGTCACTTACAGCGCTGTCACGAAGGCTTTCATGCAAGCAGCAGAGTAGAAGAGGCTCGGGCGGGCTCAGCTCACCTCTCCTGGGAAGGATGACAGCAGCAGAGCACACCCACAGCCCACGGCCAGGGCAGCGCCACAGCAGGACAGACCCTCAAAGGGGAGGGGAGAGCTGCAGGCATCCGGGTGCCACAGAACCAGTAAATACCTAAACCAGTGCCAAGGGCTTAGAGGAAAAAGGATCACAAAAATTGATTTCCCATAGCACAGACTATAAAAGGTCCATCTTCAGGGAAAGCAAGCACCAACACACCACAGCCAGGACAGGAGGTTGGAAACGACAGAGCCACGGCTCTCTCCATCTCCAAGCTGCTGAAGGTCACACAATAACACACAGGATTTGAGGGTCAGATCTCCCCTACCCCAGCCTTGCATCTGTGACTTGGGGACCAGATTTCATTTCCCAACTGAGAAACTTCAGAAAACATACTTGTGTGGAAAGCATTCCAGACACGCAGTGTGTTTAGTACCAGTGAAAGCCCTTTTAAGCTTAAGAAACATTCAAAAGGGCCTCAACAAAAGCAGAGCTATTATGATACAACATTATAGCAGAGAATGAGAATCCAAACCTTATTAACAACTGTGTGAAAAAAGGATATATTTTCTGCTTCTCTTCGTTGTATAATACATCTACCAACTGGATAACGTTTTTGTGCCGTAATCGTCGCAGCAGCTGAATTTCCCTGCAGGAAGAGAAAGGGAAAAACGTTACATTTAAAAAACCCTATCTCCTTACTGTGGAATTAAATTAATGTTTTCGAAGTCACACGGATTTTGAAGACACTTCAAAGAGCATCGGTCCCAGCCTCTTCACCCAAGACCGCCTCTGCGCGCTGTCAGACTGAAGGTCTTGATGTTCCTGAACCCCTCGGTCTAAGGTCAGACCACGGAAGTCCTCACTGGGCACTGTCCAGGACTGGAACAAGTCGCTTCCCAGTTAACACTGCCCAGCCACCTTGCTCTGGGCAGGAATTCAGCCTATTGGTGAACAGGAGCAGAGCTGTCCTCAAGGAGCAGCCTACCTTTGTGGAGGACATGAAGTGGTCATAAGAAGCGCCTGTGCCGGCGCTTTCAACACAGGCTGCGTTACATCTGCTAATACAAGGGTTTATCCTGCACTCCAACGTGGCTTTATTCCCGTTCTACACACAAGATCTGCACAGAGCTCCCCGTTAGCTGTCAGACTGGTCCGCAGGGGGATGCTGACAGCCCAATGGCCCCGTTCAAAGAGGGGCAAGATGCCAATGGTGAGCTTGGTCAGAAGCTGCACATCACACTGAGTGAACCCACAGCAAACTGCTCCTGTTGAGACCCTGCCAGCCTCTCAGACACTGGGATGTGGGGACACAGAGCAGCCTTGGACACACTGCAAGCCCCTGCCTGCACAGGCCGCACCGGCCAGGCCTTGCAAGGACTTGGGGCAGGGAACCAAACCTCTTCCTCCTCTCACCCACACCAGAGGGGTTCACTGTGTCCCCCACAGCCCCCTCCTCAGCTCACATCCCTCTCCTCCCTGAGCACACACTTGGCCGTTGCCAGCTGCTGCTAGGGCTGGCTGAAAGAAAGGTGCAACCGGAGCTGAAACCTGCCCTCCCAACTGTTCAGCAAGGCAAAGCCCACCCTGCTTTGCCCCACACATCCAAAGTGTGGCTTTAACAGCTCCCCTCCAGCTGAAGCTCTTCAGACAGCACTGACTGCCGGGAGCTCAGCTCACGATCAGCTCTTCAGTCAGATCCTGAGGACGCACTGCGTCGGTGGGTACTGTCAGATCTAGGGCAGTCATTTCCAATACAAACCTTTCATGTTTGCACTTCGTGCTTCTTTATATGTAGATGTCATCCAGAGTTACAGGAGCAGAAATAAATCTGCTCAGGCTTCCAGTGCTTGTACTTCAGGGGATGTTTTGAACCGGTTTCGTGACTGGGAACAGCCCCCCCAGATGTCAGCATACAGCACCGTGCAGTGAGGAGGGCTCCTGCTGCCACAGGCACTGCCCGGTGCCCAACACGGCACAGCAGCCACACGCAGCACAGCCCATTGCAGCACCAATGCTGTGATTTGGCTGGAGAGCACCTTGAACATTAGCTACTTGCCAAAAACATTAACACGGAGTTTCTGTACCTAACAAGCAATTCTTTCTGATAGCTGTGGCATTGCGAACACCACCGATCTGAATTGAATCTTCTGTTTGTGGAGGATAAATAATGTGAAACTGAGTGAGGAGATGCCTTCTCTGGCTATGAAGATGGACCCCTGTACCTCAGCTCACATCAGCTCCTTTGATCTCTGCCTCCTGGGATTCCACGCTGTGCCCCAAACCACATTTTAGCATCTTTTGCATCCAACTCGGCCTGTGAAACCCCAGAGGATGGCAGCTGCGAGGAGGAGCAGGAGGATCAGGCCAGTCAGGTCAGGGCGGTTCTGTCAGTGTCTGCAGTGCAGATCCTGCTCTTTGCTCTGCTGCTGCTCCACTCGGGCTGTGCTGAACCACACAAACTCCTTCCCCTCGCTGCTAGGTGAGCTGCTCCAAGCACGGGTACATCCCAACAGCCTTGAGAGCAGCCGGACAGGGACTTCAGAGCACAGACTCTGCCCAAACACACGGCACAGCGCTCAGCCCTGCCTGCACCATTAGCCAGCCCCTAGTAACAAGCTGCGGCCAGCAAAGGCTTCTCCACGCACCACTTCTGATGAACAAACCAGGAACTGCTCCTTGACGGGCTCATGAGATGCAGGAATGATTAAAGATCTTTTAGGGATCCCCAAGCTGTAGTATCACTTATTTCACTACCACAGTTTAGGCCAGACACTCTTCCTTCATCATATATGGCTTCAAAAAAATTACAATAGCAAATGAAACGCAGGATAAGGCGGCAAAGCTCAGAAGTGTTTAGTTTAAATGGCAGACGGATTTGCAAAGTGATGCAGCCGCTCTAATTATAGTAATGACCAAAAGGCTGAAGTGGATTAAATTAGCATAGAAACCGCAGCCAGCACTAGCGCAGGTCTAAGAAGTTTGTGCACGATGAAGGGAGACACTTGAGTGCTCGGACCACGGCGGGAGAGGGACTGAGCACTCAGTTAACTAAGGCGGCTGTGCGGGGATGGCAGAGCAAGCTCCCAACACCAGAACACATTTCAAATCCTGATTCCTGTAATACAGCTCGAAAGCGCATTCCTTCCACCCTTAACAGACTAAGAAATACTTCACATTTCTGTAATGACATTTTTCCAGGAGGACTTTGTGAACCCATCTCAGAGCCAGCGAGGTGCCCCTGCCTCAGGGCAGCGGCCGAGCCGTCGGTTCCCGGAGGAAAGATTATTCCTATTTTTAGCTCCTCGCGTGCTGGAACGGCCGAGGAGCGGGGACAGCTGGACCACAGCCACCCCGTCCCATCTCGGTCTGCGGGCTTCACCGAGTCACTGAACACAGGCGCTCGCCTCAGCAGAAGGTGCCCACATTAACTTTCAACCAAGCAGAGTTTAATTCACCTAAACCCAGCCCTCCACATGCGAGGATGCAGCTGGCGCTGCCATCCCTGTGGGAACCTGCGCCTCCTCGTTCTCATGAGTGATGTTTCAGATAAGCGACCGAGCAGAGCACTTCACCATTCCCTCCTCAAAGCAAGCTCTGCACATCTAGGCACCCCCTGACAGGAGAGGGGCCGACGTCCTGACCTGTTGGTGTCTGATGCTGCAACGCTCACCCCAGCACGGCAGAGCTGCCCGTGCTCTCCTATGGATCCCCATTGCTACCACGTCGCCACTGACCCAAGCAGATTCCAGCTTGGCAAAGGGCTCAGATCCCGGTTACATCCACAGCCAGGAGCGAGGGATGGGACAGCACACACCAGCTTCACTCACCTCCATCCAGGCCCACGCCTCCACCGAGCCCTCCCTTCAGCAGAGCTGGCCCTGTTTTGGGCTGTGAGGCTCTTCACTTGCAGACCCAAGAAGCGAATCGCCCAAGTGCAGGACTCCTACACATTTTACACCTCCAAGGAACTCTAATGAGCATATATTCAAACCTGAGTAATCACTGAGCATGGTAAGTACAGCACAAGACACTTGGGATACACACAGAAAGTCCCAAACACTTAATTAAAATGTGAGGCTATTAGCACACAGTTTTATTAAACTTGTGCTGCTAGAGACAAATAGCCTTCCAGATTCCCCTTCCTCTTTTTGGCAGTGCTACTAAACTCAGTTTTTGTTTAACTGGAAGCAGTAACGAGCCCCAGCACCGTCTGGTTGACCAAGCCACCCCAAGCCTTCTCTGAAGGGACAGGAGAGAAATGAAGATTCCCGGCACTGACTCAGGGAAACACGCGTCTCACGAGTTCAAACCCTTGACATCCTTACTGGGATTTGCAGCCTCCCGTGGCTCGTTTTTCAGGGGCAGAACTGGAGTGTTCTGGGGTAGAGACGAACAACCCAATTTCACAAGTCTCAAACACGTTTCTAAGTCCCCAGAGCCCTTCGCTCGTGCTGGGACGTGCACCCCGCACAGGGGACGAGGCTGCAGGGACACAGACAGCGCTGACAGCTCCAGTCCCTCACACCTGAGGCAGACCCATGCGACTCACCGCAATAATTTCATTACAGCTCTGTCACACAAACCGAGTCACAAGCTTTTCACTGGTCAGTGAGAGATGCTGGAGATCACTTCAGCAGGGACAGGCCCGGTCTCCGCAGGTCACAGCAAACTCCACGACAAGGTATTTCAAGACTGACCCTGTAAATGGTCACTCCCAAGAGACGAGTGCTGTCAAACCCAGCCTGAACACCAGACCTGGCTGCCCTGACCCTCTGCCAGGGCACCCACAACTCATCTGCAGCATTATAGGAAGAAATTCACCCCCAGAGAGCAGCCCAGCAGTTACAATGTTGTGCAGCGACTCCACGGCAGAGAAAACAGCTCGTGAGGGATTCGGAGACTCTCACTCCCGGTCACTCCATTGACCGTGACCACAAGCGCTCTGGAGGAGCCTCCTGCCTGCACACCCAGGGAGGGAGCAGCGGCCGCTGGGGCAGAGGAAGAGGCTTTTCCTCTCAAAGGGCCCCCCCTGAAGCTGGGCCGTTCCCCACGATCGCAGCACCTCACGCACCGAGCTGCAGGCATCCTGCTCTGATAAGAACACAAGTGGGGCAGGAAGCAGGCCCCTAGCACAGGAATTGCCTATTTACTCCTTCATGCACTTAGGAGTAGCTTAGAGAAAGCAAGCAGAACTTGGTGGTGGGATTCAGTCCACAACCTGATTCTCTGCCGCTCTATCACACAGGAGGAGTTTGTGGGTATAAACCACTGCAAGCTGCCCAAAGGCAGCTGTGGAAAGTGGAATTTTAGTGGAGTTTGGCCAAGCAACGTGCCCTTAAAACAAAATGGGATCAGCAGAGTGCTTCCAGCGCTGCCTGGAAATGCAGCAGTGCTCCACAGCGACCAGCCAGACCACGGGGGTTTGATGGAGGACCTCACCACTGCAGGTTTATCAGAGCAGAGAACTCTCACCGCCTGTCATGGCAGGGCCAAAGGGTTTTGGTCGGGTTGGATTTCTACAGCTACCACGAAAATATGGCATTTTGCCTCAAAAAAAAAAACAAACTGAAGAAGGAGGAAAAGCAAACAGAGAGGTGGGCAGAGAAAAGGACAAGGTGACAAAAATAGGAACTTGAACTAAAGTAAACCCTCGGTACAAGGCAACATCTAAAATCTGCTCGCTGTTTGGAAGCAGGTGCTGCTGAGCCAGAAAAACATCCCCAGCGCAGCAGAGCGGTGCTGGTGCTGCTCCAATGACCAACCCTAACGAACCCAACGGGCCCTCCACGGGCAGGCTCTGAGCACGAACGTGGCCTCCACTGAGGTCACTGCGGGCCACGGGACCAGCACCACAGCTCTGCTGGCACCAAGCAACTCCCCCTCACTGAGATGGGAAAAACTCACAGTTAAAGTTTCAGCAAGGAGGGAAATGTCCCTCTTCTTCAGGGGAGGCTGTGGGTGCAACCAAAGGAAGGGGCAAGGGTGGAAAGGGACACTCAGCCTTTACCAGAAAAACAAGACACGTTTTATTACACATTAACCAGCAGTTCGCTCTGATTCTGAACTTGAGCCAAAGGAGGGAAAGGGAGGTCCCAGCGCTGGGATCCACGACTGTTCGTGGACGAGGCCGTCGCCACGGGTCAGAAGGCAAAGTGACACTGCCGGGAGTCACAGGATGTGAAACAGCTCGCACGGAAACGCAAACCAAACCCAGGAACAGCAGCAGGGCTCTGCCAGGGCAGGGCCGCACGCTCTGCATGCCACAGCCACAGATGTGGCACAAGAGGCTCCCGAACGCCTCGCCGATCGCCCTCCACTGCCAGATAAACCCTGGTGGAGTTGGTTCAGCTGCAGGAGGCTCCCCTGGGGAGCAGATAAACAGCTCTGGTAGGGCTGTGACAAACACCCTGCGGAAACACGGCCCGAGAGAGGGGAAGCTGCAGATGAGGGGCGACCCCAGGCCTCCCCCAGCTCATGTTCATAAGTTGCTGGTGCCCCCAGTAACCAGCCTGTAACTGGGACCACGAAAGCTGCCAAGCGCAGATTTGGAGTCGCTGGAACAAGAGGCTGACAACCTCGTCCCCATTTTACTGCTGCAGAAATTGAGAGGAGCCTTGAATGACTCCCAAACTCGTTGGTCAGAAGCAAAACCAAGAATAAATCCCAAGACTTCCTATGCCCATTGGGTGTGCAGCCCATCGGGCCGTGCTGCGGGCACCCCCTGCAGGGGTGAGGGCCATAGGTGCCATCCCAAAGCGCTGAGGAGCTGCACACCCCTGACAGGTACACAAACAACAGACCACAACCACACAAGGCTTGTTTCTGCATTCGGCTGCACCACCTCGTGCCTCTCCTGGCCAACAGCCCCACACTTTACCTCTTCAAGGTGAAGCCTTACGGAGGAATTGCTTTAAGAAATGCTAGTTTATCCTTTAAGCAATATTATTAAAAACCTGGTGTGTGTTTCGGGCTGTCTGCTCAGATGTTCCTGCCTCCCCGACCCTCCAGAACCAGCCCTGGCCCCATCCCCAGCTGCACCGAGCGCTGCGGTTATCCTGAACACCTCGCCCAGGACACACCTCCACAGCTGATCCCTGGTAGGGCCACAGCACAGAGCCTCAGCTGGAAAACAACGACCAAGCGAACCCCTCGGTTCCCTGCCACCAGAAACACTGACTCACTTTTTCACGTTTGCCTCCCCGTTGGGAATCCTGCGCAGCTTCTTCTTCTTCAGGATTTTCACAGCTCTCCTACAGAGGGTTTCAGAGTCCAGCATCTCCTTGACTTTGCCGTAAGACCCTTCTCCAAGCAAGTCTCCCATCAGGTACTTGCCGATGAGCTTGGCCCTTTTCCGCCGTGGCTGGTAGATGACCTCAGTGGAGTCGATGCGATGGATGAAAGTGTCCATGCCCACAGACATCAGCTCGCCCTCCGCAAACATGCCCAGCTGCTGCGGCTCCTGCATATCCATCCTGGATTAAGTTCCTTAACCTGTTTCCTTAAGCGCCGAGGGGTTTAATCCTATTTGTTAGTTGCCAACACTCCCTTTTACTCCTTCTTGAAAAAAAAAATCCAGAAGATTGTACAAACATGAATAAAAAAACAACAACAACAAAAAAAAACCTACGAGCTGCTTCCAGCTCAATCAGATGCTAAAAGATCCAGGCCCGGCTCCAGTAACACAATGTCTTTTAAAAACAATATGTATCTTTGACCAGATACCCTCAGTTTGGGACTTACTTTGCTTCCGACCTGGTCCCACCGTTAGGGTTCGTTCAAGTCAACTCGGCCTTCAAGTGGGCCCAGTTTGATTCTTAAGTGCTAGGTCATCCTCCGGGACTTCAGGCCACCACGTAAAACCAGGCGACCGCCGAGTCTCTTTCGTGACTTTCCATCCCTAGATCACAGTCACCAGCGCGGCGCGGGACGACGGGGGAAGCGCTGCTGCCCTGCCCTGCCCAGGGACGGGCACGGATATCGCTTGGGTTTTTCAGCCGTTCGGAAGCTGGAACCAAGTTTCTTTGAAGGAATTTTCAGAAACAATTCTAACGTCTTCGTTTTTCACGCCTACAAAAGTTTGAGGCCTTCGGTGTCTATCGAGATCTCCCAGGGGCATCCTTCAACCACCCGGATTCCGCCTGGCACATGATGCGACCCATGGCACATGATGCGCCCCAGCCGCCGGTGCAGGTGTCAGCCAGTGCCAGACAACGCCAGACCTGCGGAGCTTCACCGAGTCACCTCACGGCGGGAGCAGCCGGGAGGACGCGCTTCTCTGGCCCCACAGCCCCAAACTCCCATTCCCCTGCAGCAAGGGC